AAGAATTCAATTTTATTTCATCTGATTTCCAAAATTTTGGGGGGGCTGAGCGTCAAGTTAGCCCCTCATCTATTTTTTCCTATAACTTTGTTATCGAAACGGCACAGTTCAAAATATCATCGGCACAGTAAAGCACACTTCGAGCACAGTAAGTGGTTGCAATTTTTTTAGAAAATTCGAATGTGGGGGGGCTAACTTGACGCAGTTTACTGGTTTGAGTCTTTGATTTTGGGAAGCTTTTTCTTTTCAATCGTTTCGCATTAAGTCTTAATCGGGCTTAATTCCCTCGACGGTATTTAGCTTCTTTATTCATATTATTAATTAACTGCCTACCTAGCAATGTATCTAATAAATAATTCCCGAGATAATTCCTAAACTATGTAAACAAGATTAAAACAGTTACCTACCTAAGTGTACTATTTAATCAATATAGTTATTACCTAATAACAATAGCGTAATACCCAATAAGTCTCAAATAAAACGTTTTTTATAAATATGTGAACGATAAAAAATATTCAATAGTGAATGAACAACAACAATGTTTGCTGTTCTGCGGTCGGACCTGTCGCGTGGATTAAAATATTCCTTCATAGTCTCGCTCTACTTTAATAAAGAGATAGACTAAACATCGCGCTCCACCTTTTTGTTACCTCCCGCTTCCTACCGACCCGAAAAATAACCGCGGGCAGCGCTGTTGGATCAGCCTTGAGTAAAGTATCTTGAGTCATTTTAGGATGATCATGGCACTCTAGTTGAAAAATTAAAAATTAATTTAAAAACAAAATTTGGACAAAACTCGATTCAAAAGTGGTGCATTAGGACGTAGAACGATCTGTAGAATCCGAAAAACAAAAAACATACAGGGTGTGCCATTTAAAAATCTAAAGTTCCGGTCATTTCCGGTGAAACCGGAAGCCAGGAAAACTTGTCAAAATGCATAAAAATAGCGTTTGGTTAGAATATCAACCCTACCAAGTTTCGTTGATATTGATGGACAAATAAAAAAATGGCAGCCGGAAAGTGATCTCGTGGGCACCCGGTATACAAAATAATACCTCGCTATTAGGCAATCCAATCCATTTGTCAGACACAAAATTCAATATAGCGTGGCGGCCAAGCAAGTTTATTTTGAATATGTGTTTATATGCATATTTTAGCTATTTTGCTTCCAGTTTGATTTTGATTATTTAATAAAATATGTGCTAGTTGCCTACGAAACCCATTAAGTCGGGCAGAAACTAGATATTTTTTGGTGTTTAGTCATGGTCTTGTCTTGTAAAATGCTGAATAAGTGTAGTTATGGGAGCCTCCGAGAAAGGGACAACATGTCACAAACCTACAGGGTCCCAAGCGTGCCCAGTTCAGTATGTTTTCCCCATTTCAATGAACTATCAGAAAAAGGACGAATAGGATGGTTAGCGGCAATCAAACAGAACAATCTTTCACAATCTGAAGTGGCAAATCAAAGAGTTTGTAGTAAGCATTTTATCACGAAAATAAACAAGTGCTATTTTGCATCATGTCTTCAACCATCATATATGGTTTTATAATGGGAAAACTCATAAGTAAGTAAGAGTATGTGGATAATCCTGGCTGGGCACCAAGTTCTTGCAAATATAGGCTCTGCATAATGATAGTCTTGTCATATTGCACTTAACTTAACAGATTCACCCCTCACAAATACCTTTAGAGCACATAACACTGTGAAACTCCAAAAAAATAGCAGACAGCACCCGACTAATCAAATGATGTTTGGCCTATGTGTGGCCGCCACGCCATCTTTAATGTCACGAGGTTTTGATTGGTCGAGGTAGCTCCTTGGTCTGCACTCAGTCCGGATTCAAATTCTTTATACAATTTTCTCTGGGGTTACTTAAAAAATAGACTAAAAATAGGCCAAACGTTATTAATGTCTTGACAAAAAAATTAATAAGAGAAGTTCACTCCATCCCAGCTTAACTCATTGAAAATCGATTTTAAAACTACAAAAACTTTGCCAGAAATCAAGAAATTAGATTATATCACGTCTTTTAACTAAAATTGGCATGCAGATTGAAACTCGAAATTGTATTCGAAAATTACTAATAATTTTGCCTGAGGATGAATATTTCTGGCCGAGACGTCGGAATTTCAAAACGTGTTTTTTGATCTCATATAACGTATTTAAGAGTGTCAAAACCAAACAAATTATGTTTAAAAAAAATCCAGGTCCGTATTGGAAAAAAATAGGTTCATGATGCCGGTAATGGCTTTGGAAAACCAAAAAATCGAATTTCTGAAATAATATTACCACATTAACTGACTGAATCTTCTGATGATGGAACTATTACTGTAAAATATTTTAGTGACTTTTTCTCAACTGTTTATGGTGATAATAATAATTGTGATACTTATAATTTTAATGTAGTTAGGTCGTTATCAATAAGTACTTGTGATTTTAATGAAATTGATGTCTACAATGCAATTGTTAGCCTAAAAGACCATTTGTCTGCAGGGCCTGATAACATAACTGTGATATTTTTGAAAAATTGTGTATGTATTTTGACCTTTATTTTAAACATTATTTTTACTAAGTCAATGTTAACTGGTATCTATCCAGATGTGTGGAAGAAGTCATTTGTAACTCCTATATTTAAAGGTGGCGAAAAAAGTGATGTTACTAACTACAGGGCAATAAGCAAAATGTCTTTAATAGCAAAAGTTTTTGAGATTATTATAGATTCTAAAATCAAGACTGCACTACAATCAATTTTAAATGAAAACCAACATGGCTTTATTGCTGGTAGATCCACCGTGAGTAACTTGCTTGTTTATGAGCATTTCTTGAATAGTTCTCTTGAGGGCGGTAACCAGGTGGATGCCATCTACACAGACTTTTCAAAGGCTTTCGACAAGGTTAGCCACACTCTGGTTTTGGGAAAGCTTGAGAGGTATGGTGTGTTTGGCAATCTCCTGCAATGGTTCCATAGTTATCTGACCAACAGAAAGCAACAGGTGAAAGTAGGCAGTTTTGTTTCTGAAGAGATATTGGTCCCCTCTGGCGTTCCGCAAGGTTCACATTTGGGTCCACTTTTATTTAATATTTTCATCAATGATGTGACAGAGTGCTTGAAATATTCCAAATGTCTTTTGTATGCAGACGACCTAAAGATTTTCAGAGTTATCGAAGATTTGAGTGATTGTTTGAGAATCCAAGAAGATTTAAATGCTTTGAGTGAACGGTGTAATACAAATGGAATGACATTAAACGCCAATAAATGTTTTATTGTAAGGTTTTATAGATTGAAAAATATTATTGAATTCGATTATTCTCTAGATAATACTTCACTTAAAAGTAAAGAAGAGCTAAGAGACCTAGGTGTTTTTTTTGACAGTAGCTTGAGTTTCAACTTTCATGTTAACTATATAACTAATAGAGCATTAAAATTGCTGGGTTTTGTTAGAACTCTGCAAGACTTTAGTAGTATTGATTGCTTTAGAACTCTATTTTGCTCTTACATAAGGTCAGTTTTGGAATATGCTTGTCAGGTTTGGTCTCCTTACTATGGTCAATATGTTCAACAGATTGAAAGAGTGCAGAAGAGGTTTGTGAAATTTGTTGGGTTTAAATTGGGTATATCAAATGAGGATATTGTATATGAAGAAATACTTAACTCCCTTAATCTTACAACTCTCAGCAATAGGAGAAAATATATTGATATGAGAACCCTATATAAAATCTTAAATGGCTACATAGACTGTCCAGAATTGCTATCTTTGTTAGGGCTTAAAGTGCCACAGAGAAATCTGAGAGGGGAAAACCTGTTTAATGTTCCATTTCATAGAACGAATTATGGTTTATCTTCATCTCTGACACGCTTTTCAGATAGTGCAAATAAATTGCTTGCAAATGGTGATGTAGACATCTTTAATGATTCTTTAAATGTGTTTGGCGCAAAAATAAAAAGTATCCTGTGATCGAGCCTGTGATATAAACGAGTTTTATCGAATTTTAATGTTTTAACTTGTACTTATTTTTTATTTATTTTTTAACAACTTTAATTTTTGAATTGGTGTTAATGTGATGCAGGGGACTATAGGTAACCGCTTTTTCATTGATTTAACTGATATGTCTTGATGTTATATTGTTTGATTATTGTATTTTTGATGCTTATTTTTATTAGTCCAATTTCTGTAAATGGCTGGTCCGTTAATAAACATTTATTTATTTATTTATTTATTTATTTACATTAAAGTCCATCCAAAAGTGCTTCAAGGAAGTCATCTCCATTTTCCTCTCCTAAAATAAGGCCAGGAAAAAATAAAAACCAGAATCGCAAATTTCAGAATTTTCGGAATACTGCCGAAAGTATTCGGAATTTCTCAAATTTTAAAACGGCAGTTTGTTGAGCAACTTTGCCATAATTCAACCGACCCAGTATCTTTTACATTTTACAAGATCCCAATGATGAAGCTCGAATTTGAGCCACCCTGTACCTACATGTCTAAGGAGCATGTCTTGAAACCTGCCAACTTTCCAAATTTTTATGTTTTTTGAAGTAGAAATTGTTCTCAAAAAGTTAGATTTATGCCTCGATTTATGCATGTTTGATGTAAACAAGAATGTGCAAATATGTGTGAGGGTTTTGTTCAGAGTCAGCCGAGGAGTCAGCATCATCAAGATATTTTCTTTGTTTGAGAATCTGTTAAATGGCAATTATTTGTAAGCCTTTGAGAATCTTGCAACCATTGTCAGGAATTTTTTTTTGGTGCATTACAGGGATATCTTGTTCCAAAATGCAAATTCTTGAAAACATATTTTTGAAATGTTGCAAAATAAATTTCACATATTTTTACATCAGCAATAGTTTTATCTTAATGGGACCAATGTGAGAATGTGCTTTTATGTCCACGAAGCCTTGGCTTCAACTACCTAAATAATAAATCAGACTTTTCCAGTTTTGAGTCAGTGGAACTATGTGATTGAAAATAAGGACTATTTATATTCTTTATATACTCACTTCTAGTTTCCCTCTACTATATGGCCTTCCACGATCATTAACATTTATAACATGAAAAATGTTTGGGTGAGTGTCATTGATGTCTGTTTTGCTGTTTACACACCCCATAGTTTTAGAAAATTATGTAGCTTCACATTTCCTGAGACTCATCGGCACTGATAAATTTAGGCTAAAAAAAATTTAATAAGTGTTTTTAATCATTTGGTATAGGTACTGATTGAAGCAACATATATTTAGAAGTGTTTTCAGACAGTTCATCAATCAATAATTTATTTCCTAAGTAGTTTATATTCGCATATTAATGATTGGCAAGTATGTATTATGATTCATATTATTAATACGTACTTATTAAAATATTTGCTCCATTATTTATCTAATTTTTTAACCTGTGGGTTAAATCTCCAACCAAGAGTCTATGGAATAAATTATAAACTACTTAAATTAATTTGACTATAAGTACCTATAAATCAAGATAAATCAATAAATATATTGAGGCTAGTCTGATAATATTGAATATTTGCTTTGTTTCGGATATTTATAAAATATCAACATAACATAAAACAGTAGTGATAAAATATATCAATCAATGAATTTTATTCAATGACCTGCCAGCCGTGCCGCCAACCCTGCTTGATAACTAAAAGAAGAACAAGAAAGGGTAGATATGATGTTTTTTGCATTAAATACTAATTCCAAAAATTGTACAATACTTAAGAAATAGAGACAAATATGTCTTCATAAACAATGTTTGTTACTTATTTAAAATGTAAATAAACAGAAGAGCCAAGCAAGGTCAATCCTTTATCCCATTACCTACCTTCAAAATACAGATTTTTCTCAATTAAACTTCTTTGTTAGCTTCTGGTTCTCATATTGGTCTCTTGCGTAGAATGACTCTCTATGTGTTCCTCGGCAAGTTGCATTTTTCTTTGGCTTTATTCACTTAAATAAAACAAAATTGAATTATTATCTTATTAGTATTTCTTTTAAAAACAATAATTTATGTGTATCTGCCACTTGCGTTTTGCGTTGCAAGTCTGCGGCTGCAATCGCAGCGCAGCCGTCAGCCGACCGCAGGCTAGAGAAGGGCCAATTGATATATACATCGATACGCCCTCGATGATGATCGATACGAATTTGTCATATCGATATGTGTGCGATTGTCTTGAACCGTTCTAGAGCCGTCCTTTTTTTAAACCCGAATAAAGGTAAGATTAATAAATATAAAATTGGGATTATTGCTGTTTGGTCTTGGTTCATGTGTCGATACCCGTCTTATGTTATATTTCATTAGAAATATTTTAAAATCATATAAAAAAATGATTAATCATGAAACGAACGAGCACTACGAGCAGTTAGTCTAAAGTATCAATCATATAAATATGGTATTGAAAGTATCGATATTTTCTCATATTATTATCGATGGCATGTAAAGAAGTAGAGGTTTCGAAATGATGAATTTCGATAAGCAATCCCCTACTTCAAGCTCCGGGCTGCATATGGCACAGCTTCATGTCTTCATGTGGTACACCGTATTAGCAATAGCTAATCAGCTCAGCGCTCGACTTGCCGTGGTTCTGCCTATATACCGCCGGGCTGCGGCCACAAATACGTAGAAAGCTGGAGTTTCATGCATCCGTTTTTCCGACGAAAGATGTCCGAAAAACATTCTATTCTGATATAATCGTATGAAAATATGTCAAAATAGAAGATTTTTCGGACATATTTCGTCGGAAAACGGATTCATGAAAATCCGGCCTAAGCGTATATGACATAAGTAACAGAGGGTAGCTACAGCTGAAGGGATGCGTTCAAAAACGTTCACGTAATACCTAGGCACTTTCATTTATCGTTGCTGTTCTTGCACCGCCTGCTCGGAGAAGTACTGGTCGTGCTCAGCCACGTTAGAAAAATATATACTACTGAGCTAGAACGGGTCCTACATCACATGGAAACTTTTTTTTTTTTTAGTTTTCATGGTTGATAATTCTTACTAAATAGGTATTGTAAATTTATTTAACCTATCTATCACTAACTTTTTGCCAAGGTAAATGACCCGAGAAAAAAAATCCTGTGGTGTCAAATCATGTATCCTGTGAACACGGATTTACTGCATTCCTTTTATACATCGAGTTACACCTAACGAGCTCCTCAGAGTCACTCCAAAACACACAATTCAGATTTTATCATTATTTTTCAATATTAACATTACCGTCATTACCTAAAAGGGATTCTTGCACTCCTCGCAAATTTGGTGCATCAGGGGAAAGGGGGATGCACTATGAGCGGCTCGAGTGCTTAACGCACTTTTAAAAGGAACGTTCAAGCTTTTGACATTGAGCAGCTCAGAGTCACTTAACGGGTAAAAGGAATACAGTATTTGATGCTTAAGAAATCTGAGCTTTTGAATTGTAACTTATCAGTTTTATCGAAATTTCGACAGTTCCCAAAACCTAAGATAATCCTACTTCGGAGTAGGATTATCTCTGCCAAAACCAAAGTTTCCAAAACAAGTCAGTTACCATCTATATTCCCGACATAGTGGCGGAGAGAATCCGTCGAAAACGGTACAACGCTACGCAAATAGAGAACGGTATCTGTTCTGCCGAAGTACAGTGACTAAGGGCGGGTATTATAAAACTACTTTGAGAGTTAACTTAAAATTAACTTTTGGAATTACATGTAATTCAAAAAGTTAACTTCAAGTTAACTGTCAAAGCAGTTTTATAATACCCGCCCTAAATAAACCTACACACAGTGGCGACAGCTATCACAAACCAGTCAGAGTGCATTTCATTGGTTGAAAACGGTCAGAAAACTAGTTTCAACCATTACAATTCGCTCTGACTGGTTTGTGATTGCTGTGCGAACACGGGAACACGCCTAAGGCCGTGTTTATGTTGGAGCTGTGATAAAAGCTATAAGAGGGTCGATAATAGCGGTGATAAGAGCTATTCAAAAGTACCCTATCCAAAGTATCAAAAAAGCGCTGCTCTATTCGCCGTTCCAACATAGACACCTTCGTACAAACACAGGCATTGTATTTCGTTGCTTTGCTAGTATCGTTGCTTTTATCGTTTATCACAGCTCCAACATAAACACGGCCTAATAGAGGTCCCGCCGCCATATTCTCCCTCACTTCTTGCTAATTTTAAATATGCCAGATGTACAACTTTCATCTTACTCCTGGTATTGCGCTGAACTCGATAAACCAAATCATTGATCCTTCATTGATTATTCTGTAGGGTCCTTCCCATGCTTTGCTGAACACAATTTCGGCGATACTCCCTTCTTTCTTGTTGGATTATATAGCCACACCAAATCGAAATCACCTTCTTGAAATCCGGCTGAATTGGCTTTCAAGTCGTATCTGGTCTTCATTCGGTCACTGGCCAGCTGGATATGCTCCCCAGCAAAATCATGTATCCCCAGTAGTCGGGCCCTTACTTCGTCGGCATAATCTCGAATTTTTGTTCGTTCTTCTTCAGGTATTCCGGACATCAGATCGCAAGGTTACCTGGTTCCCTCCCAAAAACGATTCTAGCTGGACTTTCACCTGTTGACTCGTGAACAGCTGCTCTGCAAGCCATTAAAAATAGAGGCAAATGTTTGTCCCAATCTCGCTGGTTCTTTGCGACCACTTTTGTCAGGTGTTCCTCTATGGTCTTATTAAATCGTTCTACCATGTCATCAGACTGTGTATGTAAAGGGTGTTGTCCTTGTCTCACGAATTCCCATGATCTCACAAATTTTCTTGAAGATGGCAGATTCGAAGTTTCGTCCTTGATCTGAATGTAACTCTAGTGGCACACCATGACAACTGAAAACTTCGTCCACTAGCACCTGAGCAATATTACCTAATGGCTTCTTGATTTGGAATAGCGAAAACATCTGGCCATTTACTGAAGTAATCCATGATCACCAAGATGTATTTGTTATCACGCTCTGACTCAGAGAACGGTCCGGCTACATCTATCGCTATTCTTTCAAATGGGAGACCAACGTTGTTCTGTTTCATGGGCCCCCGAGATCTTAGTTCAGGGCCTTTACTGGTAGCACAGATGTCGCACTTCGGGCACCAGTTTTTAACGTCTTCATGATAGTGGACCCAGTAAAAACTTCTCGAATTTTGTTCAAAGTCTTGTTAACTCCAAAATGTGCCCCTGAAGGTCCGTCATGGTTTTTTTAAATACATCTTCTACTCGATCTGTTGGAATAACTAGTTGGCTCTTCGTAGTTTTCCCATCGGCACTTTCCCAAACTCTTTCCAGTAAACCATTTTCTACGACCAAAAAGTTCCACTGAGCCCACGGCCACAACGCTTTGTAAATCAAACTCTTTTCCGACACTTCCCTCCATTCTGGCCTAGATTCATCATTTTCTTTAACATGTGTAATTTTCCCGAAGTCCTGGTCTGCCTCTTGATCTTCTCTCATTGGTTTGGTAGTCCATTTATTATCAACGATAAGGCCCGTTCTTCTCACAGCTGGACCAGTGTTTTTCTCATGCATACCGATTCTTTGACAATGCTTGCAATCTTCGTTACATGGTCGTCAAGACAGAGCGTCAGCATTTTTATGCAGGTTTCCAGGTCAATGTTTATTTTGGAAATCGTATTGCTGCAATTTCCCAATCCATCTAGCAAGCTGTCCTACAGGTGTTTTCATTTCTAGAAGCCATTTTAGAGCTGCGTGATCCGTTCGAATCAAAAGCTTACGTCCGTAGAGATACTTATGGAAATGTCGACTGCTTTTACTATGGCAAGCAACTCTTTTCTGGTGACACAATAATTTCGTTCTGACTTTGATAAGGTTCGGCTGTAGTACTCTACGACATGCTCTTGTGAGTTTTGAATTTATGCATCTACAGCTCCAATAATGGTGTTGCTTGCATCTGTGTACAAACTGAACATGCCTTTCTGATCGAGATAGTAGGACAACACTGGTCTTGTACATAATGCTGCTTTTAATTTTCTGAAAGCAGAATCGCACTCTTGGGTCCAATTGAATAATGATTTCTCTTCTGTTAATCGACGAAGCGGAGCAGCTGTATTGGCGAAACCTTCCACAAATCATCGATAATAAGAACATAATCCTAGAGTTTGGCGCGTGGTTTTGGCCAATCCCTGACAGCATCTATTTTTCCTTCCATAACTTGTATGCCATCTTCAGATACCATGTGACCTAAGAATTACACTTTCTTTTGAAAACACTTATTTGGATTTAGTTTTAAGTTGGCATTCCGGAAGCGGTCAACAACTTCTTTCAGGTTATTGAGATGTTCTTGGAATGAATTTCCCATGATCATGACATCATCTAAATATACCAGACAAGTTCTCCATGTAAGGCCTCGCAAAACTCAAACGTAGCAGGAGCATTACACAATCCGAAAGGCATTACGTCAAACCGGTATCACCCGCTTCCGGTACTAAAGGCAGTTTTCTCTTTGTCACTTGCCAGTATCTACTCTTAAGATCCAAAGTGAAAAACCATTTGGAGGCCCATAGAGTTATTGATGTATCGTCTATTCTCGGGAGAGGGAAGCTGTCCTTCTTGGTGACGTCATTAAGCTTACGGTAGTCTACACAAAATCTAAGATTTCCATCTTACCAATACTACTGGCGCAGACCATGGACTATTAATTTTACTTTTCAATAATTCCCTCTTGAAGCATTTTATCAATTTGGTTTTCCACTTCCTGTTGTTTAGCTACTCTCATACGTCGAGGTGGTTGTCTAATTGGGTGTGCCAATCCAGTATCAATTTTGTGTTGAATTAAACTGGTCCGTCCGGTTTGATTATCCATCACAAATAAGTCTGCTTCTTCCAAGACGAAATCTGTGGCTTCCTGAAGCCTAACTGGATCGATGATTTCTCCAAAATCTGCATCAAGTTGTCTGTATCCAATTTCGGTTTTACAAAATGTCGCTTATTTGATAGGTCACAGTTCGATATTTGCTTAACTGGTTCGAGAGTTCCAATAATGTCTCCTTCCTTTATTTTTACTGTTTCAGAAGAAACATTGGCAA